CACAGTACTGTAGCTCACCTGGATATGCAGTCAACAGTTTATAATATCTACAAAGACAGACACTTCAAAGTGTTGCTGACAGCATGAATATTCAAACAATTTCTACATAAATACTGAGGACTCAAAACTACCCCTAAAATCGAAAAGATTTGACTAACATAGGGTCATAATAAGGAGAAATATTCATGCAAAAGTTAAAATCCCTCAGCTAAATATGACTTTTGATAGAATGTAAGAGCACAGGGAAAACAATGTCAAAATGTAACATTGCAAGAAATGGAACTAACCAAATACAACATAGCATTATGAAAAGGCTGAGTAATGGCCATAAATAGATTTTTCAATATGGCTGCTCAGAATAAGAAATCTTGAACAAATTGGGGTGTGTGTATTCATTGGTGGGAACAAGCATGTGAAGTTTCAGCTTCTTTGGTTTTGTAGTTTCTGAGGACATGTGTGAGAAATTCATTTTCGTCAAACAAGGTTTACAATATATAATAAAAACAGAATCCATGTGTTGAGACCCACTACTGTATACATTTACATATATACCAAATTTCATAACTTTTTTAACAAAAATGCCTCACTATGGTGATAAGTTTAAATCAAGGTCAAAATTTAAAATATTGCTAATAAGAAACATGAATATTGAGCCTCACTACTAACCCTCATGTCCTAAATATCATTCCATTTTGAACATATTTGATCACCAAAAATATCTTTGACAATATAATATGACTGACGAGGCCATACTGAAAATTAATTTCGAACTCTTGAACAAATTGGGATATGATCTTTAGTGGGAACAAGCACAATGAAGACGGACAAACAAGCTAAGGCATAAGTTCACTAGACTTTCAGTCAGGTGAGCTATAACTGGCTACTTAAATCTCACACTGGAGCCTAGTTAAAGATCAGGCCACTGTCATATTCTGGAATATTGCTGAATGTGGCATAAAACAGCAAACAAATCCTAATCAGTAAAGAATCATGCCTTTAACTAATTTAATATTATCCTATGCTGTGTGCGGCCTTGTTGAATTTCAACTGTACCTTGACCTACATTGTGTTATTTTGTCATGTAATAGATCGGTGTAGGTTAAAGGGGCACTGATCTAACGCAATTCCCCGGGACTGGTTGTTGCCTTTGTTATTGTTTTTTCCCAGTGAGTACCCGGATGTATAGCAGAAATCTAGACTAGTTCGCGACCTCTGCTGCGCCATTCGTAAGCGCATTAGTCACTTGTATGGGTAGTAATATAGAGGGCGTATGGTCACATTGATCAACAAAATGAAATACAGTTATGGAGATAATAAGGAAATGTAGGTATCTTTGTGGTTAGCATCGGTAATGGTGACGAAGTTTTGATAAGTCACTTGCTTGGTAATTTTGCGATTTTCGTTTACACTATTTTGACTTGCAACACAAAGTAAATATTTCACCTGAGCATTGCTTTTTGATAGTGTGTATATTTTTTACTGTCAAAATGTGTAACATTTTCAAATTTATTCAACACCTAAATATTCAGTTATTTAACAAAGTGACTGAAAAACATTTCCATCTGTATTATTATGATAACGAATTCCAAACATTTTGATGTTTAATGTCATCACCAAGAGACTGAAAATGTTACGTTGAAAAGTACATTTCTATGTTGTTTGGCTTCTAATCCTACATAATAATCTGTTGTGATGTTTGTAGGCCCTTTTGATCGCCTTAATCAATATGGACAGATTTTTTAGTCAAAATGACTGAAATATTTACACATTTTATAAATTGCCTGAGAGAATTACATTTTACAAATTGACGGTAATATATACACGCTTACAAGGGAAAAGGCCTGTGAAAACAACGTCTATCGCGCATTGAAGAATTTCCCAACCAAGACGTAGAGAAACAAGGACGAATCGGTTCAATGCTACAGCAAATGAAGGAAAACAAAATGCAAATACCATAATTACAACCTACCAAATTTATGTGTATAAATTTTAGGCAGCTTCCTTGTTCGAGGAATGTATCCGTGAATATCCACACAAAGGAACAATATCCCATTCGTCTGCAGCTGTACAAAGAAACCTATTCGATGTCACATGTCTCTGTAACAATCACATATTTTAAAAGATATATATCGTTTCGGGATATTATAACCCGTGTTCCTTTCTCAACTGATCATTTGGATTGTTTCAGGTGTTTCACATAGGTGTCAAGTCTCAAGGGTCAGCTGAGAAAGCCCACGTGACAACTATTTTCATAACGTCCACGGTTCCTAAAAAATCCATTGAGTGATAGATAACAATGAGCAATCAATCAACGTATTATCAGTTCACCCTTTGAACAAAGTATGTTGTTTTTACATCGGCACTTCACGCAAGGATATGTGTGTATTCCCTTAGTTTTAGTAAACCTAGACATGTAAACACTCACTTTTGACATATCAACTCTGCAAGATAACAGTGATTAATCAATCAACGTATTTTCTGTTAATCCTTTGATGACTAGGAACGGTCCGTTGATTTACAAAAAAAAGTAAATCAACTGATCATTCACCTGTTGCTGGTCTGCCACGTGCATATTACATAACACACATTTCACCTCACTTCAAACCTGGATTTAGATTGAATAATTACCCCAGACACAATAAATGCCAAATGGGAACCTTTGTCAGGTAATCTATGTGGTGCTACCACTAATTGTACCTGTAATAAATTCATTAACTGAGCATCAAGTGAATGACGACAAATACACAAGTGTAGGGTTATGCGAGAAAACGTGGATGACAACAAGGGAGTAGTAATCGTATTATCAACGCAATCCGAAAACCGAAAATGCTTTCACTGCATGGATACTTATTTTAGTGTTAACTATAACCATCTGGGGTATTTCCAAATGACGACATCCGATGAGCTCCGCCGTTCTTTTTGTCTGTTAGTTTAGGCCGAAGAAATTAATTAACATGCGCCCTTTGTCGAAATCGTTTTAGATCACGGTTAACCAATCAGTGTTTATGCAAAAATGCGTAAAACAAATATTGCCTCCAGCCTCCAAGTTTATTTAGCTGTCCTTGCAGACGGTAGCCCAGTCTCTGGTCACGCTCAGTTGCGTTGCGTATCATCCGGGTACTCACGGGGGAAAAAACAATAACAAAGGCAACAACCAGTCAGGGGAATTGCGTTAGATCAGTGCCCCTTTAAATTGACCTGTGTAGGCCTATTTGCCAACCTCTTCAGTCCCCATGCACTAAACAGGGGTGCTCGGATCACTTCCAGCTGAAGGGACTTACACTGAGCAGTGATCACCACAAATGTCATTATGACCCAAGCAGCCTACATAAAAAACCATTGTAATGCTTTCACAATGTCGATCAAAATTAAGTCACAATATCCACCACTCCCGTTTCTTGCTGCTTCAGATAATCCCCACAAAACCAAGCCCTGGTCAAGATTTCCTGGATTAGTACCTGCAGTGAGGTAATCTGTGTTTTTCAGTCAGGGTGGGGTAGTTTAGAAACAGTGATTGACCATGATTTCCTTCTTCTGCTGAGGGGTTACCACTAGGGGCTACGACTGGGGCTATTTTCACGATTGTGATTGTATTGCAATAGTGGCCCACACTATTGCAATAGGATTGTGATATCAGTAAACCATCTTTAAGGCTGCATAATCATATTAATCAATGTTATAAAATGAATAAAGTATTTTTGACAATCTCAAAGTCGGCCATTTTCCTCCCTGTCACAACTCAAACCAAAGGGAAGTAACGCTAATCAGAAGTTGTCGTAACCCTTGTTAACCAACACAAAGGCAGGTTTGAAATTTGCACAATTCATGTTTTACATATAATTTATTGCAACTATTGAAACTACTATTGATTGTTAAGCATACTATCAATAATACTATTTGCATTAATAAATTCCTATCGATAGAGTACTATCGTTGGGCAAACAATGGCAATTCATCAGTAGTTCGATAAATAGTTACACTCCCAGTTACCACAATCATATAAAAATAGAAATTGAAATATTATTTTTGTATCAATATTACTTATCTCAAACTTACTCATCTTGACTGTACTGACACCTTGACCTGATTCATTGGCCCTGATTGTACAACCAGTAATAATAAAATTCATATCGTGCCCAGCTTAGTATATCCAGTGTATTATATCTCCATTCTATCATGATAAATATCCAGGACCCATTTGCAACCATACCTTCATTATAGAAGCCATCTCTTACCAGCAACTTCCAATTAATCCCGAATTATTTATACATGTACTTAAACAGAATCCCATTTGCATACAAGTGTAATTTGATTCAAAGGCTATTAGGAACAGATTCATCCTAAAGCTAGGGCCGCAAATAAATCTGGGGTATTTATCCAAATGTAACTGAGATAGAAGATAATGGAAATATAATGTACTTTAAGCCAAAAAACATGTATATCTAGTCACAACTAATTTCAGTGATGAAAAAACTTTGATGTAGATAAATATTCGAAGGGAAAAATATACCTGTAACTTGACTTCAAACTTGACAACAAAAAAAGCACAGTAAACTACGGTTATAGCGAACTCAAATGGATCACTAATGTTAGTCTGTTATAACCGTAATTTGTGTACAGCTAATGGTCGGGACCCAAAATTAGGTTCGTAATATCCGTCAGTTTATTATACAAATGTTATAAGCGTGTTCATTATAAATGTATTTTACTGTAACTTTTTAAATAAATTTCAATGTCTGACTAGTGTTTTCTCAGGTAAAAGCAAGTGATTCAGTCAATTCCACGTAATAATCAGAATATTTACAGGCAAAACAATACAAGTTGCAGCAGTATCACAAGGGGTATACATGGTTTATGCATCTTATGCCACAAGCCGGACCCAGGCAGGATACACAGTATTTAAAATTATCATGGGAACCAATCAGGTCTCAACATTCCAACATGGAGGTCAGACAATGTTAATTCAATAATCAAAGCTGTGGAAACCATGTTAAACTTACCTTAGCATGAAGTTTTTCAATGGCAAAAGCAAACAAGATGAACACATTGGTTGCTGAAACAAAAACAAATAATGAGCATTCTTTAACATTACAATTAACTAAAACTTGACTATAAACATTAAAAAATGGAACTATTTTCGTATTTTCATAATAATAAATTCCAGAACTTAAGTCATATGTTGTCTTTCCTTGTTTGTTTGTCTTGTCGTCACACTCAGCAATATTCCAGCTATATGACAGCGGTCTGTAAATAATCGAGTCTGGACAAGACAATCCAGTGATTGTTATCATGAGCATCGATCCAAGCAATTGAGATATGATGACATGTATCAACCAAGTCAGCTCTCTGGGCAAATGCATTATTCACTACACCATGGAGGTGTTTTTTTTATATCAAGGATAGGACAAGCATCCCAGAACATAGTACATCTACATATTAATTCATGATCTTCATGACCAGGAAGCAATTCCAAACATAATTAAAATCATAGCCACATCATTTTTACATAGTTCAATGAACAAGTTCTACTCACATAGCAAAACTATGATATTAGGCCAGTTGTAAGGATCCTTGACGAACAAGTGTAGCCAACTGATTGGGTCTATCAATATCCCGTACCTGAAACACACACATCAATACAACAACTCTTCCACTCCAATGATTCAAGTCCACAGCAAGGTGTACACTGAGTTGAGTAAATCTTGTCATGCATATATGCTAATGTCACATGGTAATAAGGCAAGTGCCTTAAACATGTCAAAATGTCCCTGCTTGATGACTTGATCACTTTTCAATGATAAACTGTTCCTAAGAAACATTATCAAATGCAATGAATACATAAATGTTATAGATTTATAGAATAAAAAGATATTTTAGTCATATGTTATCTTCTGGAGGAATATGTCAAAACTTTTATAACCTGCTATCCACATAGAACACACGCATGTGGCATGTACAATAATATTTGTTTGTTGTTTAACGCTGTCCTCAGCAATATTCCTGCTATATGACCGCAGTCTGTAAATAATCGAGTCTGGATCAGACAATCCAGTGAAAGACATCATGAGCATCGATCCACACAATTGGGATACAATAACATGCATCAACCAAGTGAGCCTGACCACCCAATCCCGTTAGTCGCCTCTTACGACAAGCATAGTTGCCTCTTACGGCAAACATGGGTTGTGGAAGACCTTTTCTACCCTGGATCTTCAAGGGCCGTACAATAATGATGCTAATGGTTTCACCTTTCACTTATGAGCTCTGAGATTAAACTAAAGCCAAAGCAATAAATAAGGGTATTAAATTCATGAAACAGACACACTTTCAATCAAAATCACGAAATCACACTTGTGTCCCCTAAACAAAGGTAAACACTTTATACTTACTTCATGATATTCTCAAGGAACAGTCTTGCATTTGAAAGAACCTAGAAAAAATGGAAAAAGATATTAAGTACAAAGCTACAATCACTCACTCACTACCTGACCCATCAAGAGCATCTACAATCACTCACTACCTGACCTATCAAGAGCATCTACAATCACTCACTACCTGACCTATCAAGAACATCTACAATCACTCACTACCTGACCCATCAAGAACATCTACAATCACTCACTACCTGACCTATCAAGAGCATCTACAATCACTCACTACCTGACCTATCAAGAACATCTACAATCACTCACTACCTGACCCATCAAGAACATCTACAATCACTCACTACCTGACCAATCAAGAACATCTACAATCACTCACTACCTGACCCATCAAGAGTATCTACAATCACTCACTACCTGACCTATCAAGAACATCTACAATCACTCACTACCTGACCTATCAAGAACATCTACAATCACTCACTACCTGACCTATCAAGAACATCTACAATCACTCACTACCTGACCCATCAAGAGCATCTACAATCACTCACTACCTGACCCATCAAGAACATCTACAATCACTCACTACCTGACCCATCAAGAGCATCTACAATCACTCACTACCTGACCTATCAAGAACATCTACAATCACTCACTACCTGACCCATCAAGAGCATCTACAATCACTCACTACCTGATCCATCAAGAACCCCCCCTCATTCTCCCCCTCCCTCACTCACCAGCAGGATGAGACAGAGGTTGAGGAGGCCCCGGTAGTTGGTGAACCCACTCGATGTGCTGAACAACGAATCTGCATTTTGGTGAATCCTGAAAACACAACACAAGAACCTCAAAATATTATACATTGGACATTTTATCATGTAACCATGGTAACAGGAGATACTAATCTTAAGTGTGTGAGTTGGGTTTAACACCGCTTTGAACAATATTCCAGTTCTATCATGGCATGTCTGCTTTTACGAGGGAGGAGAGCCCAAAGTGATGCAGGTCTCAGACGTTTACCACTACGGTGAAACCCATGAGCACGGGCATGGTGCTGACAAATCTAGAAACATAATCGGTGCGAACCAAGATTCTAACCCAAAATCATGGGTTTCTGGCATGCCCAAAGGACGCAACACTAAGATACTAATCTTGAAAACATGCCATTTTCAATATGTTCAATGTATATCATGTATATCATACAGTTTTCATCATTGACAACCAGTGCATAATTGTCATTTCAGGATGGACCCGTGAAGATCTGGGTCAAAATTTCTTCAGCAACCCATCCTTGCCATAAGAGGTGACTATGCTTGTCGTAAGCGGCAACTAACGGGATCAGGTTGTCAGGCTTGCTGACTTGGTTGATGCATGTCATTGTTTCTTGATGTCAATCTCTGGATTGTCTACCATATATGTCCGCAGATAAGCCAAACTTTTAGGACCAGAAAAAAGATTCTGTAGAAAGGGGTCAGCTTATCCATCTGATGCACTTTCAAGATAGTACTTTTCAGATCGTGATCTGTCAGAAACATCGCCTGAATGACGGTCCCATAGATTACAACTTCCCGAAAGCTTGATGTAAATGCAAAATATCCTGAAGAAACAAAATAAAATGCTGCAAAACACAATTTCTATGACGTTCAAGAAAAAAATTAAACCTTCTCCACAAAAACATGATGGAAGTACAAACTGACAAAACAAGTTACTACATTTACTACTGAATTCATTAGGGTGGGAGAAAGAAAAAACATTACATGTCACATTTTGACTCGTAATAATATCTACATGGAATATTTGTTAAGAAACATAAATGGTATTAGTTTGTGATATGTGACTATGGTCATTACCAGTTCAAACCCAAGATGTTGCTTTGGACATAGGTGATTAAATGCAAAATATTAAGATTTAAAAAGTTCAGTTCATTACCATAATGATTAACATACAAAGAAATAATGATAGTCACTTCAATATACTACACCTATTCCGTCACACCCCACACAAGATGATGGTCAATGTATGGAACTGGGAAGACTGTTGAGAAGGGCTCATTACAGAAGATCAAGTCTTGTGTACCCCCAAAGGGTGTGGGTTGGTTTGCTGATATACTGGGCGAAAAGAAACTGCTCCATGAGGTTGGATAGTTCATTGTTGTCACGGACAGACTGGTCCATACTGAAGTCTCCAGTGATAACAATCCTATACTGATTGAGAGGCAGCTGCTCCAGCAGAGTTTGTTAGTGAATGAGGAGAGTTCTCCTAGATGATGATGGTGCCCTATAGATGACAACAACCAAGAGAGTAATACTGGCCTCACTGTAGCATCCGAGAGCCTCTACAGCAGGAGGTATCTGTAGTTCTGTTGCCTCTCTGTACTGAAGGGCATCTTTGATTACCATAGCTAGTCCATATTGGGAATGCTTCAACAGAACATTGTGACCTGGCATAGGAAAATCATTACCATTGGCAGTCTCATCCGTTCTTGTTTCAGTGAGGCACAACACTTCAAGATGGTGCACAGATATATCAGACGTAAGATCTGTAAAGTGTCTTGGAAGTGATCTTATATTTAAATGCCCAACAGACGTCATGTCCATTGGCAAAGAATAAAGGGGATGTTGCCATGAGAGAATGTCATTGTTCCTCAAGCACTCCATTTCATGTTTTGCTGATTCATTAACAAGTACTTTCTTTTGAGAGAAGTTGCTAAGTTTGAGTCCCTTTCTTGATGGTGAGCGGCTTAACATTGTGTATGTTAACCCTTGTGCCATTGGTGTTCGAGGGGGGAGTGTTAAATCAGCAACAATATATTGGTAAGTACTGCCCTGAGATTTGTGAGTTGTTAAACCAAAAGCTAGCATGCTGGGTATTGTTTTCTTTCAACAGGTACTGGGAATTTTTGTGACAGAAGGAAACGTCCTGTAACGGCACCTACAGCACAAAAGTCATATCAACGTGTGCTGTGAACTGTAAAACATTTCATAGAGAAGTATAGCATCTTATCGCACACTCATCTCTGTCATAATCAATGCAGAAGTAGGGATGAAGGATTTGATAACGAAGTCATTAAACGAAAGTTACCCTCACATACTGACAACTTGGTAGAAGGCATGCACAAAATGCAGTCACACAAAAAAACTTTATTATGACTTATAAGATTCCTTAAACAGGTTAAATGAGTATCAAGTTGAATTTTTTGGCATTTAAAAGAAGAATTCATAAATTCATGTTGCCATGAAAAAAAAATATATATAAATTTCAAAAAAATTTAAATAGTAAAAGGCACCAGTTGAGCATGTACCTGACAGACATGCAGTTTCATGAAACAATATTTAACAATTTCTGAGTTATGCTCCAGAAACGAAACGTGACCAACTTCGTTGGGCGGGGGATAATAAACAACTGAAACAGTGAGAAACTTGTTCTGTTTGCCATTTGCAAAAACATGTGATCAGCTGTTTCCCGTGACGTCACCATCAGTGAACTCTGTGATTGCTTCCTGTTTCGCACTGAGCACTGATAATAACGGGGCTGATTGGTATTGTTATGTTGTTTACATAAACACTTTCAAGTTGTGTTGGTGCTTAGCAGTAAATTCCTTTGTTTTCGAGAGATCAGTTTAATAAACTGGAGAAGCCTGTGAGTAAGTGATGGTTATTCAATGTGTTCATAGTTTATTTAACGCAATTGGATTAACATACAATAGTGGCGGCAATGTTTGATGTTAAACTGAACCAAATTGGTGAGTTACTGCATAGGGGTAAAAAATTGGTATATTTTTACTGACTGACATTCTCATGATGAGTTTGGAACAAACATCATGCTTACGATGCTGCATTCAAAACTGCGAGTCGTCGCTCTAGCTGAGACATTTTCTCAGGGGTTCATAATTCTATATACACGGATTCACAAATGGCGCTTTGTTGTTGATGGCATCATAAGGATCATTAAGAGGTTAAAAAAAGACAACAGAAACAGCTTCCCACGTTAGGGGAGTGGATGACTGGTTTGTTAAATCTATATTTGAAATTATGACTTTTTCAATATAATTACAACGTTTTTCAACTTATATTATTGAATATCTGCAAGTACCGGTACAGTCTTTCAGTAAGACTTCGCGATGTGTCTTTGCCTTTCACTTCCTGGTTCGGCTTATCTACAGGCTATATCATATTCGACTATATTTCAATGGTCAAGTTTATCTACAGGGTCGGCATATCTGCAGTCATATAAGGTAGTCCAGACTCGATTATTTACAGACCGCTGTCACATAGCCAAATTATTGCTGAGTGCAATGTTAAACAACAAACAAACAAACATGTCAGGATTAGCTACCAGTCTTATGTAATCACTAACTGTAAAAAGTGGCCATTAATTATGACTAATATTTTAACATAGAATCACCAACAGGATTCAGGAAATTGCTTTTGCATTTGGCCAAACTCTTCCCACTATCTTCCTTCCTCCCACACATGTCAGTATGTTCTTATCATGGTAATGCCTTTCCAAACTTTCAAACCTCGAAGAAACACAGACTCCTTCTTATGTCCTCAACATATTTCTCTTCAAAATTAGGAAGATGACAAGACTGAAATGGATTAATGTTTCAGCGCTGCATTCAATTGACTGTTCGCTTATTTTCAAGCCTTTATTTGTAAGTAGTTGTGCAGCCTTATAATTATTGACAAACCAATATATATTTCTAACACAATCCCAATTTCTGAAAGTATAAATTGAACCTTTCGAACCTCCATTCAAAATAACAAATCTTGTAAACAATATCTTGCGCCTGTACCTTGGAGACCTTGACCTTGAAGGAGAAAAACAGGTTTGGCCTTGCTGTGCTTATCAATAAATTCAGTGATTGCAAGGGGTAACACTGTTGCACTGACAGACAAAGTAGACATTGAATGGTTGGCTTATCAGACAATTCACGTAAGCACAGATCATACATTTTATTTCTGGAATAGCCCTGTGACACCACGGCAATATTTCAGCTAAACGATGGCAGGGGGTGACATAAGAAATAGGCTTCACACATTGTACCCAGGTGGGGGGTGAAACCTGTGCCAAGGGCAATGACACATAAACTCATAGGTTACACAATCACTCTGTGCATCATGCACATTGTCAGGGTCCAAAATTCCTTGTATGAACTATTATAGCACCACTGGTATAGTTGGAATCACAAAGGTACCATTAAAATTAGTTCCAGGTTCATGAAGGGCTCACATAGAGCTGCTTCTAACAGTATTCCAGTTATGTCGCGGCATGTCATCTTAATGTGGGAGGAAAGCCCCAAGTGATGCAGGTCTTAGACGTTTACCACTTCGGTGAAACCCACGAGCACAGGTATGGTGCTGACAAACCTAGAAACATAATCGGGGCAAACCAGGATTCGAACCCACAATCATAGGTATCTGGCATGCCCAAGGGATGCAACTCTGCAACTTAGACAACTGGGCCACCTGTGCCCCTCTTAATTCCTTGTGATGATGCACTTTATACAAAGCCAGTGATAAATGTTCTTTCGCAAATGTAAACTGGATACTCATGTAAAATGAAGATATGAACACATTCATGTACAGTATGATTCAACTGGATATGTAGTCAACAATTATTTAAATTGTTAACAAAGACACACTCAAAGTTGCTGTCAGCATAACTGTTAACTATTATCTTTTTTAAATATTGTGTTGAGCCAAATTTCATTAATATCTTCACATGTATCCAATTTAATGACATTCTGAACAAAAATTGACCATTTAATGGCCACATATATAGCTATTTTAATCTTGCAGCTGTGGAGGCCATATTGAAGATTG